ATGTAAAAGTCTGTGTGCCGAGAGGAAGCAGAAGGACACATCAGATTATAGTGAGGGGCAAAGAAATAAGCATTTATAAAGGAGCCCTTGTTGTATTTTGTTTTTGTGGAGCGGAAATTTTGGGGGGCTATTTATTTTTTACAAGACTGAATCCAGATTAACTTAAATAACATGTCATGCCAAAATGCGTTCACTGGTTTCTATGCATGTGGCTATATTCTATTCTGCTGTCAACAAATCCTACAAATAGACCAAAACTAACTGTTTGTCTGTTTCCTAATACTGTCTGACTTCCTCATCATGTATTTAGCACTAAACCCCAACGTCTATTCAGTCCTTCTGAATATTTCTCTAAACTAGGTCAGGAATAAATACATGTTCATTTTTAAAAAGAGTCATATTTCCTGAAACAGCAGGGCACTGTAATTTTTAGCAAACTCTACTCAAAATAGGGTACATGGTGCAATGCTTGGGGACCATTTTCAGGTGCGGATTAACACACGTTTGAGGTGCTGGTAGCAGGATGGTGTAATAATCTATGGTGCCTATGTTTGTGGTAAGGAAGGGGTCTTGCACTGCAACAGGGCCTCTCATTTTAAGAGTTTTAGGCTTTAGAAATGCAAATAATAGTTTTTTTAGGATCAATATTTTGTTGGTTTACGCTATTTGGTGGGATTTGTTGATGTGCAGAAGAATGCAGAAAATCAGCACATGCATTCTTTAGACAGTCAGATTTTTGCCTCTAAAAATCAATAGCAAACACATTTTTGGCATCCATCAACAACGTGCAACAAACTGCATCACAGAACAGGCCTCAACCGTCCAGATTGTATTGCAGCTACATGACAGACAGCATTCGAAGGAGGGCTAGGAGACTTTTTTTCCCCCTCTCCCTCCACAGTGACTACAGCTCACCTCTACAACACGAAAAGCCCACAGCGCAACACAAGCAGATCACACTCAGTCTCTGGGAGTTACTGAAAGGTGCTGTGGGAAATCACTCAGTGAAGTACAAGCAGATGATGAAGGCTGAGGGGGAGTAAGTACTACTTAAACATTAAATACAACACACCTGGAATTTATTGTAGACCACAGATTAACAAGCATTTTCCCTTTAAATTTGGTTAATCTATGCTAAAAGATATGAGGAAAATGAATGGTGTTTCTTCATGATCGCTTCAAAATCAGGTCATCTTTAGGCCAACACGAACAAGGTTTAACCAACAAGATAGTCTCAAAGCACCAATTTTAATCCATCCATGACAAAAAAACAAACAAACAAACAAAAAACAAAAAAATGGGATCAAGGACAACAATGGAAACCTGACTACTTAAGTGTAGTATCTTTTCAAGTCTTCTTGTCTGTGTCAGGACAAAGACAGATATTTAAGATGCCTCACACAGACACACCACCTCCACCACCATTGTGGAAGGCTCTATAAATATACCTGGTTAGAGATGCATATTGCTGCACTGACATGGTATGTGAAGCACTGACCTCATCCTGGTATCGTCTTACATGAAGCCTTGACTGTTGCAGCAGCAGGTACGAGCATGACTTGACTACTCAGGCGAGGACAGCGACAAGCAACGACAAAACAGTTTTTTAAATCGTCGTCTAGAGCAGAAGTTAAGGTCTGCGGGCTTGTGGAGTCAACTGATTTTCAGCAGTAGAGAGGCTCTTTAGCGCATCCCTAAATCTGCTGATGAGCTTATCTCTGTGATCTAATAGAGACATCATCATCAGAGCTTGTAGCTTACGATAAATCTCTGAGAAAAGTGATTGTATGTCAGTTAATATGAAACAGGGTCAGCTATGAGATCACACAGGCCAGTTGTTTTTCATAGAAATAAAGACATTGCTCGTAATGACTGATTGCTAATGTTTAGGCCAAGACAGTTCCTGGTTGAGGTTAGCGAAGGACGGTGGTCTGATCTAATACAGACACTGCATTCCTTGCATCACCTTAGCCAAAGTGCTTTTGTTGGTAAAACCAAACCACAGATAAGACCCTGTTTGCGAGTCCAGTGATCTGTAAGTCCACCATCCATCCGAACCACCTCACCTCTGACTCTTGAGCAGCTCGGTTGGCAATTTCAGCTGAGAGTCCATTCTCATCTAGCATGTCTGAATGGGTTCAAACCAACTCTGTCTGTTTAGACTAGTATGAAATCTATGGTGGGGACTAAATAGACCAAGATCAACAAAAACAGTATTGATCAGCTTTTAAGTCCTGTGGTGTGGAAGTAAAGTAAACCAAGTGCAGGATTTTTAGGTCCCACTGCATCCTTCAGGTGCTCCAACAGTTTGGTTCTGTTATGGAGTGTTGTTGATACGGAAACAGGGGTGCTTGGTCTGCAGCATTGTCTAGGTGGGTGGTACGCATCAAAGTCACACCCACATGAAAGCCAGGACTCAAAGCTTCACAGCAGAACATTGATTTGTAACAAGATGATCAATGTCATTCACTTTCGCTGTCAGTGGTTTTAATGTTGTGGCTGACAGGTGTAAATTTATGCACAATAATTTGGCATTTGTATGCTGAGTACCTGATTAATCGGAAATTAGTTGGCACTTTTGCATTAAAATACCTAGAAACTTGGCTTGCTAACTATTTCCAATTAACATTACTATATAAACACCTCTTTCTTGTCATTAAATAGCGATGCTTCATTTTTGTCTGGTTCCAAACCAAGAAAACAAGCTGCAGATGTGAAAGCAATGACACTGGACATTAACTTTAGCTGTTTGTGATAGCAGAGGGTGCAAAAAGAAATAAATGGATGAAAAAATATAAAGTGGATTTATAATCAAAAACAGTTTCTCACACTGTATTAAGCCTTAGAGTCATGAAATCTCAATGGAGAGGCTCCATTCATCTGGGACATGAGCACAGCACTTTGTGGACATAAGGTAGACTTCATAAATAGTGAATGAACAGCTGACAGCAGACCTCTCTCAAAGTATTTGTAAAATGGGTCCCAGTGGTTAAGATGAACACGCCATGATGCTAAAAGAACAGAAGAGGCACAAGAATCTAGAAGGACTGGCAGAGCGTTCAAACAGCTGTAGAAAGTGGATTAAAGGATTCCATGCTCAATGAATTATTAAGATGAATGATGTATCTCTTTCACCACTCTTAGACTCGTGATTACTGTTGTGATGTTTTTATATATATTGACTGGGCAGGGAAAAAGTCACTGCTATGCTCTTCTTCTGCCAAGATGTCTTCATCTGCCACACGTGTAAAACTGCGGCAGCTTCAGAGCTTCTCTGCTGTGCTCACCAGTACATTCACCGGGCAGCTGGAGCTGTCAAAGCAATGTTTTCAGTTGTGCTCTCAAGGGCTCTGCCACTTACATAATAACCTGAATGAAATGTTAATGTCAGCAAAGTTGACATCGCAACAAGGGAACTCTCCAGCTGAACCAGCAGCGGAAGAGAGTCAAACAACTCAACTCCACCTAGAGCTGGTGAGATGCACTCATCTGTCTTAGCATTTCAAAATAATGCACTCGTAATGCCGTTATCTCTTCCCCTTAGTGATATCACTGGGGAGTTTCATCGAGATTGCCACAGGCCGTTGGAGACTTGTCACATGCAGCCACAGCTCTGCAACACAGGCACCTCAGAGCCGCAGGTAGAGGAGGGTGGGACAACTTTGGAGGCTCGTAGGCCCGTGGACAGAGACCTTGGGGGCAGTGGGAGTCTGGCCTGGTCTGGCTGAGACCACGCAGGCCTGTTTTAACATGTCAACTGACTAATTCCGTTGTCACCTGAAGCTTAGGTCACTCTGGTTCCTGCTTCTTTTAGACTCCAAACTGAGTTACTGTGTCTCATCAGTGCCCAGATCAGGGTGCACTGATCTACAGACTTGTTCTAGTCTGCTTTTTTATGCTTGATTGCTCGTATTTTACCATCATGTCCTTTACCTGTTCTGGATTCTTATTCCTTATGGAAAATCATTTCATTTTAAGCCCCCAACTCATAATGTTGATTTGACTTTATGTGTCCTGTATGACATGCTTTTACTCAGATTCCCTCATTTACAGATTACAGTTTAGCTACATTTTCCAAAGAGCTGCAACTAATGATTCTTCTTATTATAGGATTAGCTGCTGATTCTGTAAATTCTCAAGTATGCATCTTCAAATTGCCTACCTCAAATCCACCCAACAGTTTATACCACAGACATACTGAAATATATACCTATAGTATCCCCTATGACTGGTTTGTTTGTTGTGATCAACAGGATCTTCTATCCGTGCTGACCCTCATCCACAGCAGCAGCCTATTATCAGTGCTGTACCAGAAGAACACAGCAGCTCTACATCCTTGTGTCCAGCTGTAAAACGCAGTGTGACGCCTTCAGCCTCACACATGACGAAAAATGTCACAACCGTCCGTCCCAGCTCGCAGCACTGCGAGGAAGGGAGTAAAGGACACACTAACTGCAGCCTGCGCACCAACCGCACAACACAAAACCGTTCCGAGCCTCAGCCTTCCTCTGCGACAACGAGCCCAGCAGGCTGTGCTCTCGATGGGTCTACAGGATCCGTCCATTTCTACCAGTGCGTCACGTTTACTGCTGCTGCTGCTGCTGCACCGTGTCAGTCTCCACGCACACACACTGCAGCCCAGATGTGTTGTCCGGCGTGCGCCAGGCAACATCTGTAACTGCACATTTACGCATTATGTAAGAAAACAGCGTGACATTTATCCGAGGCGGCGGCGGCGGCGGTGGCGATGAGGGGTGAGGTGCGGGAGGGAGGGGAGCCTGGAGCCCTGGGTGCGTACAGGGCTGCTGGAGGGGGTCTGAACCATGTCGATCCATTTCTGTCATGGCATTAGGTGTTGTGCTGCTGCTGCTATGTTAGATGTGAAGGGGGGCTGCAGATGCTGAGGTGACAGACAGCCCGCAGGACGCAGCTCTGACATTCACCACCAAGAGCTGCTGCCTTTTACTGACAGCGCAGCGCAAATACAGCAAAAGCCTTACCTCCTCCGCCGTGCCTTCAGTCCGCTGCTACGTTGGAAACCTCCCGCTAGAAAAAGAAAAAAAACCCTCTTCTCTGACGAGGAAGAGCAGGCGAGCCGTGCGCCTCCTGACCAAAAAAAAAAAGAAAAAACTCCGGCTGAATTTACCGCAGGGAAAAGCTGTCGTGCGTAACAGTCCGCACCACGTATCCGGCTGCTCCAATCTCCAAATGAGCAGCAGATATGTTGCTGTTTTGTTTTTTTGTCTTTTTTTTATTTTATTTTTTTTAGTTTCCCTTCTCTCTGTGTGTGTCGTAGTCCTGAGAGCTTCTGTTTTGGGTCCTCCCGTCACGTCGCCCTCCTCCCACAACTCGTCTCTCGCTGCTCCCTCTCCTTTTGCTGCTCGTCCACGGTCGCCGTAAGTCGCTGGCCTACTACCGCGCGTGCACTAGCCCTTGCGCGCCCACGTCGGGCGTAGGGTGGAAGCTTTATAGCATCAATAGGGAGTTGGATGGGTGGGTGTGATTTGGGGAGGACACCGCTGTGAAATAACAGGAATTGATTTCAAGTGAAGAATTGCTCATTGAATTTGGACTTCAGGTGTTTTTTTGTGTTTTCTTTTGCAAGATCTGATTGCAGCCGGTGTCACTCAGCACATGACTGACAGGAGGGTGGGGTGTGGCCAATATTGCCACCACCCCCACCTCAAAACAATCCCCCCCAACACACACACACACACACACACACACACACACAAAGATGCCTGCATGAATCAGAGAATAAAATAATTCTTTAACATTGAACGATTCAAAGGGTGTCTTTAGGATGTTACAACATGGTTTTCTTCTACCTGTGTTGACACATGTATATTAATTTTCACTCACCAGTATTGCATTCACCATAAGAGACTTATGTTGATCTAATTTTCTATTGCATTCTGTAGTAGCCGGACAACCATGCATGTTTAGGGGAAAGAGGAACAAGGGCTACACAATCCTGTAAAAAAAAAAATTGCATTGTAATGTTTTGTTTTTTCATGCTATACATGAAAAAATATAAGAATTTTATTCCATGGCTTAACTAACTATTCTGAAAGAATTGATCAGTCTACGATATTTGGGGTGGGTTTGTAGGAAAGTGCATCTGCAAAAATAATCAATTTCTAAAAGGTTGTGAGAAAAGCCATTTAGTGTAACACTCAACACTGGTAAAATTCTTTTTTTTTTGTTTTTGCTCAGGATGACATTCACATCTGACTTTGCACTTGTCCTACAGAGCTTTGTGGTGCAGATTTCAATGGTCATACAAATTACTTGCGTTGCTTCACATAGGAGCAAAAATTGCAAGACACATCCGACAAAAGTGTCTGTTTTTGACCAACTTTGTGTAGCTGCAAGAAAACGAAATGAGAAGTGGGTAGTATAAAAATATTTCAGACAAATCTTCCTTTCAGAGTTTCTTTCCTGTTTCTTGGTCTCAACCACTGGATAGATTAGTGTGATATTTGGTGGCAACAGCGCCTTCATGAGGTCAAAATTAAAAACGAGCACATCAGTTTAAAAAAATGCCTAAAAAGAGATGTGTTGACCTTCAAATGACAAGCAATATTACAAACTGAGCAGTAGAGGGAGGTCAGGGTGGATGGGTGGGTCAACAAACAGATAGGATTTTAAAGACCTGGCACATGTCCACGTGGTGTTTTTATAAGCTAGAAGATATATCATGAGGAAGACAAGCAGTCAATGTTTCCAGTTTGAACATGAAAAAAAATGAACATTTGGAACATGGAGACAGAGTTGGGGATTTCATCGAGCTGCACATTTGAGAGGAAGCAATGATGTAGAGTTACATCTAAGCCATTTTAAGACAGGAAGGGATTATTTTCATGGAAGAAAAACTTCTGAATATGTAACTTTGATGCACAGAGACAGGTTTTTAGGGATTTAATCAATGACTGAAAGGGGACTCTAACACAGGAGTCCTTTATTAAGTTTCCATTTCCAGCCAACAGTCAGTGTTTCTGTAAACCATGACCAGTTGCTCCCAAACTACAACCTGATGGTCATTATTATAATGATAGAGATAAGGGTCTCCTAACTTGTAAACTCAACACACAACAAATGACCTTAACAGTCTTGTTTTTGGTTCTAATCGTAACTGAATTTTAACTTGTCCCTCTACCAATGGTACCATCTGATTTAAAAAATCACATAGATATGTTATTTGAGAGAGTAGACCAACTACATATTTTGTTGTTTAACCCCATGAACCCCCCAAACCCGCCATTGGGTTTGAAAAACATAAATAATAAGTTAAAGCACTTATCTGAGCAAAAAAAAACAACAACAACAAAAAAACTGTACAAACTGTAAGAATCACTGGATTTTAAACACTGGATCTTCGTAATATCTTTCATTAAACAAAATCTTTGTGACATGCACTTCTGTCAGGAAACCTAGAAATCTTTTGAATTTCAGCTTAAATTTACATTTCATTAAAATCACTTTTTTCCACATGTCTCAAACATGTTTTAAACATTGGTGAAAATCATAACCCATTTTTCCCAATCAGATTCTGCAAAAAACACAAAATTCTCCACTATTAAGCACATCCAAAGTCATTAGTAACTCAGCTGTGACCACACATCACGTAACAAAAATTCAGGAGCTTTTCAGCTGAATTGCAGGCCGTGTTTTAAACAAAGCAGACAGGAGACATGTATGGAAACAAAGACTGTAAATGGTAAATATGTGTACTACAAAGAGTCACTATTTTTATAATATTGGCAACATTTGGGGAGACTTGCAAAGATGTTATACATGATAGCTTTTTTTTTGGTAAAATACATTTTTAAAAAATGTAACTATAGCTTTTTCCTTTTTTTTATGATTAATGGCATTATACCTGTATGTTGCTGTACAGAAGACGTTTTGGTGTTCACTCTACTTCTTATTATCGTTGTGAACAGATGCAGGACATTAAGTTCTAGTGAAAAATGAGCCCACAGTAAGGAAAAATGTTACAGGAGCAAAATATGTCCAGAAACTCCTTGGATTTCAAAGGATCATTTTAGCTGACTTGTTTGATCAAAATACCGTTTTTTGTTTTTTTTTTGTTCCATGGTATTAATGTTAGCACGCTAACATGCTAAGCTAAGATTGTTAAGGTGGTTGACATTATATCTCCTGACGTGAGTAGCCTACAGTTTGTCATGGTAGCATTCTGAAGTTAGCATTTAGCTCAGCCTCAGAGAGCCCTCGGCAAAAACTGTGAGCTGGAAATGAATCATTTGCAGAGATAGAAAAACGAAATACATAAATAGCTACAGGTGTAGATAAGGGAGTGTTAGACATTAAATCATTTTTGCTTTGAACCTATGGAATATTTCTGTGATTAAATTCCAGGAATGAGTAGCATTGTGTAGTGACAACAAGCTCTGTGAGTCAATACCGCCGTCCACAACACACCTCGCTGTCAGAATGGATTTGTCATTCAAAAGGTCAGTGTTGTTTCATTTTCACTATCACCGTGGGGTTCAGTGAAATCCAACTCTTTTTGAGTTGTAGATACACTACACACAGTGAATCTTTGGTGAATCTAATTAGAGAAGATTTAGCAGCAGATCTCAGACAAACTGCTCCAGGGTGCTTACTCTTGACAGACAATACCTCTGTTGGCAGGGAACTCACTCTATTTACCTTCAAGTGTGTGTGAGGGAAGAATCAGATCACATACACTCCTGTGGCGGGTTTGAAAACATCCCACCTGTTTTTCATGGGATCAGTTTCCAGCCTGGTGACATATTTACCAGCCAGACATGTTGAAAAGGAAATCCTCCCTTCGGCCCTGAAAAGTTGGAATTCTACTCCGCGTCGTGGGGCCCTCGTTTACACACTCAGGCCAGCGTCAGGGTCCAAAATGACAGGAGCTTCACATTAAATTACAGAGACAGTAGCTGAGAGCAGAGGGAGGCCTGAAATGGTGGGGAGCATAGCCAGGAGGCCAACCTTTCTGTCAACCAGAAAACTGAAAAAAAATGGCATCCTCAAAAACAGAAACAGCCACAACAAAGGAGCTCTTGGCATTTTTGTGACTATGATGTTTGGACTTTGTGTGTGTGTGTGTATAGTAAGACGACAACGAAGTGGCTGGCAAAGCAGCAAAATCAGCCTCCCAGCACCACTGAAGCTTGCTAACTAACATGTTGTCTCTCATTTTGAGTGGAAACCGCACAATGTGTCATTTGCAGCCTGTGCACTACACAAAGCTAACTGTCCTACAGTAGCTCCCTTACAAAGGAGTGATGTCTCATTTAACTCAGTCAGAAAGCAAATGAGCCTATTTTCGACAAAGGTCAAACCTTGCATTTTTTGTTTTGTATTTATAAGCTATTGTACGTTTAACACCAGCGCATAGAGAAGTGTTCAATAGTCTAATAAACAGATACATTATGAAATCAATAAATATGAAGAAACAGAATATAAAGAACATAATCCAAGCATGACATTGTGACATAAAATATTTCAGCCCATAGTTATGAAATTTTCATTCAACCTGCTTATTTTCTTTTCTTTTCTTTTCTTTATTTTATTTCATTCCAAATTATGTTTTTTAACTTCATGTAATCTTTCCCTAAGTATTTTTTTCTCAAACGTTAGGGTTAAATAAACTGGAGTGCAATTTTTTCTTCTCTCCTAATTTTTTTTTATCATATATTTAAATATTAATTTATTTGAATAATTCAAGAACAACAGCAACAAACAAGGAATGAATAAGGGGGTCTGTATTTCTCCTCCACATTTCCAGTCCTGATCATTTCATAAAAATATTATCTCATTAATACCAGATCATTGATGAGGGTCGGCTTATCACAGCTGACATTTGGTAGAAAAAGTCAGGGTAGAATCTGGACAGCTCACCAGTCCATCACAGAGTCACAGTTTCCTTAATCTGTATGATGACATGACTTTGGGAAAACTTTGTGATTTGTGAAATCGGGTACATAAATAAAATTAAGTTGAAATGGTAAATTTACTGGGCCATTAGATCCGATATTAGCTGATATTTTGGGGAGAAATGCAGGGAAAAAATGCATATGAACACATTTTGCGGTGTCAAAAACAATGAAATGGATCAAGAGAGTGATACTCTGGCCATAGTGCTTAGCACCACATCAAGAGAGAGAAAATTCTTGTTTTCTTCAAAGTCATGATTTAGGTTAGGATTTCATTTTGATGTTCAAAATTTCTGATTCATTTTCTCCTGTGTAGGGTTGCATTACTATTTTCTATTTCTGGTATTTCTCAAGTCCTTGCTGTATGACGCACCTAATGACCATTTTATTTCATAAAGTCACATTCATCCAGCATGACTCAGCTCAGTTCTCTGATTTATTATTG